TTATGGATAGGGCATAAATTGTACATAAGCAGCTAAAGAGATTCCTGGTGCTGTGTTTGAGATGCACTCGTGCATTTAAAGCCCAGCAGAAAACTAGAGGTGAAAAGTACTCAGGAGCAAAGACTTCGAGCCAGTAGGAAAAGAGGGAAGGTGTTGCCCATTTACTCAGCAAGGAGGCCATAGGATCTATATTCCCAAACTCCAGAATCCCCTCTTTCCTCATTGACACTGCTAGTTATCGCTAGTTCCTTGCCAGCTACAACCAGATCAGTCTTCCCAGAATGTGGTCCACAGAACACCAGGCTTGTACACACCCCTTGTAAGTGAGATTCTGTGTTTAAGAGTTAGGAAAACTCTGCACACTGTAGCTATTTCATTGGAGTTTCACAAGGCCCATTTGAATTGTAAATGCCCTGAGAAGTCCTGCAGTAAACAAACCCAGCTTTTTGCTGATGTACTTGTTTGCAGAACAGCAGGAGTTTTGTAGGATAGGCACCAGGAAGTGCTGAGCAAGGCCCACCATTCAAGGGACAAAGGACACGGAGGCCAAAAGCAGTTACCTGAAGAGGGAGAGGGGGTCCCCCTCCGACATTTACACGAGGGAGCCAGCTTCCGTTCCTCTCATTCCCCCATTACTAGTTTCTTCTGGATAAGAAATTGAAGGTAGTTAAAAGGTTAACTGGAATCAGGAGGGATAACACTTTGCTACTGTCACGACTGTTACCCCAAAGATCCCTCACACCACGCCTTGCCTCCTCGAGCTGACATCCACACCTGGAACAAATTGAGGGGAGCAGAGCAAGAGCGCCCCCGTTTTCGCAGAAGCTACCGCATGGGGGAGCTCTTAGAACGTAAGAGAAATGGCAGCGGGTCCTGCAGGCTCAGGAATTGGCAGAGCGTAGCTTTTGCCTTTCGTACAAAACATCAAACTCTATCCCTCACACTGAGGAGAAAGGACAAAACGCATGCTGCTCATTGCGACTCTTGGGAGAAAAGAGTCATCTTAGAAGGAAGTAATCACCAGTGTTCTGTTTTGACGTGTTTAACAGATTTTTATTATATAGAAGGATAAGGCGTACAGACAGAACATGCTCACTTTTGCTCCAGTTAAAAGGGTAGGAATGGTGAGAGTTGCCTGTGGGTATTATCTGGGAGTCAATGAGAGGATCCTTCTGTCTCCAACACATTTCTGAACATAACTTACTGATACCTGAAATTTCACTATTAGAGATTTATTCCTTAAATCAGTGGTTCTCAACTAGAGATGATTTTCCCTCTCATTCAAATAGATTGCTAGGTCCCACCCCCAGAGTTTGATTCAGTAGGAACCAGAGAATTACATGTCTAACAAGTTCCCAGGGAATGCTGACGCTGCTGCTTCGGGGACCCCGCTTTGAGAACCACCAGTTAAAAGGCCTGAAGGAGATAATGCATGTACATAGCTATTAGTATAATGCCTGGCTTATATAAGCCTGCCACGGTCAATGGTCCCGCACCCCAGTTAGATCAGAATCGCTGGGGCGGATTCCAGATATCACCGCTTTTTGAAGCTCCCAGGCGATTTCAGTGTATATAGCCGTGGCGCAGATGCGCCGCAGTCAACGTCAGCTTCTAATAGCCACTGAGGGAAGCAGATGACAAAGGCTCACGTGTATCAGTGCCACCGTGGGGCGAGTTCTGCAGCTGGACACACCCAGGCTGAGACGCGCATGCGCTGCCCTTCATGCGCATTCACGTAGTTCAAGAGTTTCCAAACTGGGCCCCATACTTTTGCTCCTACCTCATCACTGATGGTCTCCACCTCCTCTGAATAGGCCTGGCTTTATCGCCTCCACCTCCCACCTACGCCAATCTTCTCCATGCTGAGTCCCAAAGGACTTCTCCAGCACTCACCCACTCACCTCTCAGCACAGTCTATAGCCTGATCCCCACCCCATGTGCTGCTATTCTCAGAGAAGGGCCTGCAAGCACGGCCCCAGCAGGCAGCTCTCTGGGCATCAGCTGTGGGATGCCCAGCCTTTCCTAGCCCCTGGATGGCTTGGGCGTCAGTTCACTTCTTTTCTAGCCCAATGGACCAGCGTGGTCAGATCCTGACCAGTCTTCATCTGACATCTACAACTTCGTGTGCACTGGTCCCCCTACCTTGAGTGATCCTCAGCTCCCTTCCTGTCTGCCCTCTACTCTGCAAAGGAGTTATCCTGCTAAGACAGAGCCAATTGCCTCACTCCCTCATGCAAACCTGCCAGTTGGTTCCACCCTTTCTTTCTAGCCACACTGGCTGTTTGTACTTGCAGTCCCTCCTCTCTGGGCTGTCACACAGGCGCCCCAGGGACTGAGACACTCTCACACCCTCTGACTCCTGCTCAGCCCTCTCAGCTCACTCAGCCCCTCCCCAGGAAGTTGTCCCTGAAGCTGTGCTCCCCTCCCTAAAGGCTGGGTTATGGAAGAGGCTGTTACTATAAATAGTAAGAGGTATCATAATTGTTGGTTTGTCTCTCCAACTAGTTGGAAGAAGGGGGAAAATCTTCATTAATAATGAGAAGTACCATTTATTTATGCAGTGTCCATCATTTGTTTTTCAGCCATGCAGATACAAAATGAGAAAATGACCCCTGCTCCAAGGAATTTACATCTGATTGATCTGAGAGCTTCCTAAAATGTCACCACAATCTTAGGTCCAGCCCTAACTAAAAGTCAGGACTAAGAGTTTGATAAGAGATTTCGTTCAGTTATATAGCTATTTGTTTGAAAACTCTTACAAAAGGTATAAAAATTAAAGCACAACTTTCTTACACATTTACCACATTGCCTTTCCAAAGTAGGAAAGTAATACAGGTAAAGAAATACAAAACTGGGCAAATTATACCAATACCTATGTCTATTTGAGTAATTGGGATCAGGACTGGCCCAGAAGCAGCCCCAGCAACCCCCACCAATGGTTACAGTCATCCTAACCCACTCCGGAGGTTGGAAATCCATGAAAGGACTACTCCACTCCCAGAGGCCACCACAGAGAGGCTGCTGCTGTATAAACCTCCAGCCACATCTGAAACAGGTGGCCGCACACCGTCCCTGAACTCTGCTTCCCTTCCTTCCTTGCTCTTCCTCCACTGGCCCCTCCCAGGAGCAGCTGGTCTGTCCTTGTGCCTCCAGGCCCCTGCAGCTTGCCCAAGCAGATGTTATTTCCTCTTCATCCCCTGCCCCACCTATCCTTCCCACAGCGCAGGATTCCTTCCCCACGTTTCCTGGGGAGCTGTGCATTTGTTGTGTTTGTGTTTGAAGGGGGAGAGAAGAAAGGAAGAGCTTTATTCTCTGAGCCACAGCCTTCAGGAATGCACCTTCCTGCCATCTGTTATCCTACAAGCCAGAGCAAAGGAGAGCACTCCTGACAACCTGGTCACCAAGTGGGCCCTGTGCCTGCGCACAGTGGGAATCAGAGTGTTTGAATAGGAGGACCCCACCCCACCCTCCTCCTCACCCTGACTAGTGCTGCACGAGACCCTTCCTTGAAAATATGAAAGTCAACCTTGAAATGGAGACCCAGGTGGTAACTTGAAATACACACCTTAGCTCTAACAAAAGGTGAGCACAGGAACTACATGCGTGCTAGGCCAGGCCATGCTTCACAGGAGCCACATCATCACAGAGGATAATCCCAACAGCCCACTGAGCAGAAACTACTGCTGACTGCTGCCCAGCAGGGCAGAAGCAGTGTGGGGCCATATGACCATGTGGACTTGAACTGCACAGGCCTTGTGCCTAACTTTCCAAGCGCACAGTCTTCAGCCTGCTGTCCTGAGTCAGTACCCACAAAGGAGGAGGCTGAGAAGAGTCCTGGAGAAAAGCCCACAAGGTTTTACTTTTGCCACAGAAATGTCCCCAAATGGATTGCACAGTTGAGTGAATGAGAAAATGACGAGCAGTTGCAAAGACGGGGGGAGCAGTAGCCTCAGATAAATTTTCTCATTCAATGCCTGTATTGTTAGTTCTTCTACCCAAGGGTTTTTATGGAGAGTGAAGAACCACAGAGCAGGCAACAGCGACACCTACCGTTTGGAACAGATTAAAACCGGGTAAGGAGAAACCGGAAACCAGACTTCTGGCCATAGAGGTGGCATCACTTACCCTTAAATTCCACAAAAGAAACAGATCCGGGTCTTTCACTATCTTTCTATTTGTTGTTTGGGGATTTCCCAGTTACCTGGTACAATTAGGGAAGCTATTGTTCAGCTAATAACATATTTTAATTAGCAGTGATTACAAGATTCTTGGAACAGTTTTCAGAGAACACAATACAGCCAAAGCATGGTACTTAAACAGTATTAAACTCTTCCTCACATTGTAAATTGCCTCTTCTCAGTACTATAAAGGTGTAGAACCTTCAATAAATAAAGCTGATATGTCTGATAATAGAGCACCATTATGGGTTGAATTGCATCCTCCAAAAAGATGTTATAGACCTAACCCCCAGTACCTGTGAATGTGACCTTAATGGGAAATAGGGTCCTCACAGATGGTCAAGTTAATATGAAGTCATTAGGGCAGGCCCTATGCCAATAGTACTGGTGTCCTTATAACAAGGGGGAATTTGGACACAAAGAGAGACATGGACACGGGACGAACACCACGTGAAGATGAAGGCAGAGATGAGGGTGAGGCACCTTCAAGCCAAGAAATGCCAAAGATTGCCAGCAAAGCACCAGAAACTGGGAGGGAGTCGTGGAACAGATTTTCTTTCAGGGAGAAACCAACCTTGCTGCCACCTTGATCTCAGACTTCTCACCTTCAAAACTGTGAGACAATAAATTTCGGTTGTTCTAAGCCAACCAGTTTGTGGGACTTTGTTATGGCAGCCCTAATTTTAATTTGAAGAGTCTGCTTACATTGTCGCCTCAACTGGACAGAAGCATTTTGATACACCCAAAGAACACAAGTGGGTTCTAATCTTACTAACCAGCTGTGTGACTTTAAAGTTCAGAGATGCCCAGCAACTTACTTACCCAGTTGCCTTGTCTATGCACTGGGAATACCACCAACCTCCTTCGAGTTGATTTGTATCCTCGATGAGCTCATGCACATGAGCAAGGCCTGTAAATTGGAAAGGGTGAGAGTTAGACATTGTTATCACAAGGAATATTATTTTTCCTTCATCTGACCCAGGCATGGACAGACTGGCCTGCCCTGCTCAGAATGAGGCCATTCACGATTCACGTGCCCTTCCAACCACCTTGCTCTTTGCCTTGGGAGGTTGCCCTGTTGGGAATGCACCAATGGCCCCTTTCTCCTTGGCTGTCAGTTGGGATTGGCCAAGGGGAGACAGCAGCAGGAGATCAGATGGCAGGAGAAGAGAGAGGTCAAGGCTTTTATCCCCTTGGCTCCCACCCCATTGGGTCACCAGGAGCTGACTGTATCATCTACAGAAGGCTTCCACTACTGTCAGGTAACTACCCCCATACGGCTACCCTCCGAGGGTTCCAGAAATTCTAGCCTTCCCTTGTCCTGTCAGGCTTAGGATGTAACAACTCCCTGCAAGTGCTAACTCCACTGTACTAAATGTGACCGATGACTCTAATTCTGCCTACAGCTTGGTAGATAATCCCTTTAGTAAACTTTCCTCAGAGTATCCAGTTTGAGTATGCCGTCTTTGGCCTGCCAGGACTCTAACTGACTCAGTAATTCATTTGGGAAGTGTCCCGAGGAAACAGCCTCAAAATGCAATTATGAGCATGTTTTACTCATGGAAAACTCCTTTGTTGAGGGAAATGGAGCACAAGTTATTCATACCATGCGGTGGCATCATGGTTATCCGAATTATTCACCAGAGGTTGCATGGGGTGAAGTGGAGTATAAGTGGAGTATAAGATATTGGGAAGTCAAGTGATTGTGTCCCTTCTTTACTACAGCAAAGATAGGGATTGTGTAGACCAAAAAAAAAGGGGGGGGGGGCAGGAGGCACAGGAATACCACTAAGGCGTAAAAAGGAAGGAAATCCTGCCGTTTATGACAACATGGATGGACCTTGAGGGCGTTATGCTAAAGGAAGCATCAGAGAGAGAAAGACAAATACTGTATGATCTCACTTATATGTAGACTCTAACAAACCGAATTCAGAGAAACAGAGATCAGGTTTGTGGTTGCCAGAGGTGGGGGGGGGGGGGGGTAGAACTGAGTGAAGGTGGTTAAAAGGTACAAACTTCAGTTATAAGATGAGTTCCAAGGATCTAATGTACAGCAAGGTGACTATGGTTAACAATACTGTATTTTATATTTGAAAGTTGCTAAGAGAATAGATCTTGAAAGTTTTCATCACAAGGAAAAATAATTTGTAACTATTTGTGGTGATGGATGTTAACTTATTGTGGTGATCACTGAGCAATATCAAATCATTACATTTTAACCTTAAACTTAGATGATGTTATGTCAATTATATATCAATAAAACTGGAAAGGGGCCAGCCTGGTGGCACAGCGGTTAAGTGCACCCGTTCTGCTTCAGCAGCCCAGGGTTCACTGGTTTGGATCCCCAGTGAGGACACGGTACCACTTGGCAAGCCATGCTGTCGTAGGTATCCCACATATAAAGTGGAGGAAGATGGGCAGGGATGTTAGCTCAGGGCCAGTCTTCCTCAGCAAAAAGAGGAGGATTGGCAGCAGATGTTAGCTCAGGGCTAATCTTCCTCAATAAATAAATAAATTTAAAAAAATAAAACTGGAAAAACATGGACACAGTAATTGGCAGCTCCTCCTATCAAGAGGTAGAGTTTATTTCTGCCCCCTGATTCTGGCCTTAGCCGTCCTTTCCTTTGGCTCTTGGGATGCTAACAAATGTGACACAAGTAGAAGCTGCAGAAGTGCTCGTGCGTTTGTGGCTTGCCCCTCTCTTGCTGCTCTTTGGCAGTCCGCGGGCCACCACATGAGAACACCTGGGCTAGCCAGCTGGAGGATGAGACCGCATGAAGAGAGGCCCTAGCCATCCCAGGCATCTCCAGCATCCCAGCTGAGGCCCCAGTCATGTTGTTCTAGACCGTCCAACACCAGTCAAGCCGTTCAGATTTGAAAAGAGCGACCAGCTGACCCACAGAATTGTAAGTAAATAAAATGATTGTTTTCTTAAGCCATTCTATTTTATGGTGGTTTGTTATACTTCAAAGGCTAACTGAAGTAGTAATTATAGAGATTGTAGGGTCAGCTGACTTTTTTTAATGGAACTAGAGAGAGTGCAGAGGGAAAAGGAAAAGTGAAGGCTGTGAATGTCCAACTGAGAACAGAACTGGAAAGTCAGCAGCCTCTTGGCAGCTTTGAAGGCATCTCGCATCTCCTGTAATCCCAGGCAGATGTGGCTGTGAGCCAAGCCCAACACCTGGTTGTCATGGTTGCAAAACTGCAATAAATATTCAAACCCACCAGGGCTCTCAAACTAAGACAGTTTAAAAGTGTAGTTCCACACCAGCAGCAACGGTGTCGGCTAGAGACTTGTTAAAAATGCAGATTGTCAGGCTCCGCCCAAGGCCTATTGAATCAGACACTCTGGGGATGGGGCCCAGGACCCGAGTTTTATCAAGTCCTCCAGATAATTCTGATGCAGGTTTTGAGAACCACCGAACTCATGTAGGGCTCTGATGGGAAAGGAGTGGGACTCTGAGATGGCGCTATTTTTTTTTTTTAAAGATTTTATTTTTTCCTTTTTCTCCCCAAAGCCCCCGGGTACACAGTTGTATACTCTTCGTTGTGGGTCCTTCTAGTTATGGCATGTGGGACGCTGCCTCAGCGTGGTTTGATGAGCACTGCCATGTCTGCGCCCAGGATTCGAACCAACAAAACACTGGGCCACCTACAGCGGAGCGTGCGAACTTAACCACTCGGCCACAGGGCCGGCCCTGAGATGGTGCTATTTGAGCAGACAGGGATGGAGCTGAGAATTCTAAACCCCCTATTCCCCTTAAATCTGCCTTGTCCTCAGAGGTAGTCCCTCTCACATGGAAGGAAACTACCTACACCTGCATAAAACCTTTCAACAGCCACCAGGATGTGCCTCCCGGCCTACAAGAAGAATTGATCCCAGTGTAGCCCAGATAAACACTGGGCCTGCACTGACCTCATCCATTTGTGTGCAGGAGTCCAGGGAGTACATATAAGAATGCAATCTAAGGATGATGGATGAAAGAGGATGAAATGTAAGTGTTGGTTTTCAAGAGCTGGCTAAAATCAGCTTGTGAGAGCCAAGTGTTAAATTTTCAAGGATTTTATGAAATATTTGTAAAACATAGCCCTTATTAAAACTTAAATCACATAAACTTACAATCTGTACATAAAAATAAAGGTCATACTTAAATCATCACTCCCACTTATCTTCACTACACTTTACTATTATCTATGCTTTTGAGATTATTTGGCTTTACTGTAGCTATATGAGAGAAATACTACATAATAGTGGGCTACTCTGCATCTCTTCCCAAATCTGTGTTCAGTAATAAGATGTTTATAGCTTGAAGTGAGTAATGGTGAGAATATTTGCAACTTGGAAATAGGCTAACATAATAAGTCAGGGCTTTTCTTTTTACCCCCTTGGATTCCTGATTGTTAAACATTTATCAGTACACCACTGACAATAAGGCCTGATAAGGCTAAATTTATTTTCATGAGTATCCTCATCTGAGATTCAGGATGTAATATGTTGACTCTAGAACCTGGGAGTAACATTAAATTGAAACTCGGATTCAGTGGGAGCTGTATTCCTATTGCTGCTGTGACAAATTACCACACACTTAGTGGCTTAAAACAACATAAACAATATAAAGTACTATCTAGAACTTCCTAAGTTCAGGAGGTCAGAAGTTCAAAATGGGTCTCCCTGGGCTAAAGTCAAGGTGTTGGCAGGACTGCATTCCTTTCTGGAGGTTCCAGGGGAGAATCTGTTTTACTGCTTCCAGGTGCCCTTCCACCATCTTCAAAGCCAGCAACAGCCAGTAGAATCCTTCTCACAATGCCTTCTTTCTCAACTGACTTTTCTGCTTCCCTCTTCTCCATTTAAGAACCTTTGTGATTATTTTGGGACCACCCTGATGACCCAGGATCCTCTCCTTAAGGTCAGCTGATTAGCACCTTAATTCCATCTGCAACTATGCTGCCTTCCACAGTCGCCTACATTCAGAGGGAATCATCAGAACCTTCCTGCAAAGGCTCAAGGAGACAGGGACATCAAGATGAACCTACTATGTGCAACCTGCTCAGCAGCCCCCACACCTACTCCCACTACCACACACACACCCACTTGTACCCTACTGGCAGATCCTGGAGCACTCTCCACACACAAAAGCATTGAAAAGTATGCTGGGGATGGGACAACTGTACAACATATATTGGCAGAAAAAAATGTGGAATGGTGGGCAGAAACCTAAATCAAATTATCCTAGAGGGATGCATGGCCTCTTTCCCAGTTCACAGACCTGGAGCCCTGGAATGAATGTCCAAGCATAGAGTATAATGCAGCCATAGAGCATAATAAGGATTTTCTTCCAAAGCTTTCCCAGAGCAAACTGTGGCCATTTACTCCGGTACCTGGAACTAGAGAAAGGAAAATATACAAACCTCCCAGGAGTTATTAGATACTGGCTCTGAACTGACATGAAACCCCAGAGACCTGAAATATCACCTTGGACCACCACTCAGAATGGGAGCTCACAGAGGTCAGGTGATGGACTGTGTCCTGGACCAAGTCCTTCTCACAGTAGGTTCAACATGGACACTTACTGTGGTTATTTCCTCAATCCCAAGATGTACAGAAGAAATAGATAAACTTGGCAACTGGCAAAATGCTCACATTGGATCCCTGACCTACGGCATAAAGGCCATTATGGCTGGAGGGGCCAAATGGAGTCCCCTGGAACTGACCCCTCTGCATCCTTGAGAATTGCCAAGATTAGTGCTGAGGTCAAGGACTGGAAAGATACAGGGGTGGTGATTTCTACTGCATCCTCAGCCTGCTTGGCTGGTGCAAATTCTAGAAGGGTCGTGGAGAATGACTGTACTTTCACTGATTAGGTACTTTTGGCTTTTTAATATGCATTTGTGGTCTCTACCTTGGGGAAA